ACTCCTGCCTAGTGAGTGTTTGGCCCTAGTCTGGGCACTCAAGAAACTGACCCCTTACCTGTATGGCCACACTTTCACCCTCAGACACCAACCCCCTAGTTTGTCTCAAACGTGTCGCTGGAGATAATGCTCGTCTGCTACGGTGCAGTCTTGCCCTATAGTCTTATGACTTCACCATTCATTATCGACCGGGCAAACAAAACAGGAACATGGATGGGCTTTCCCACCAGACTGATTTACTACCTTGATCAGTACTGTGGAATCCAGACAGTCCCTAATGGACCCGAAAAAAGATCCAACAGTGACTGCCGGAGCAGGGAGTAAAAGGGGGGGGGGCAGTCTGAAGGGATACCCCATCACCGTTCGGCTAACTGTACTCCCTTCTATCAGCCTTCCCCATTCAATCGTTATTTTGCTATGTTCCATTTGTTAGTTTGTTTGGTTCCCAAACAGAGACCACCCCAGAGAATGATTAGAACATTATGTATCTATATGAAAAACGCAGACTAATTGAATGCTCCTAGGTGGCCGCCATTTCATGCATACGAATACACGTGGTGAGAACAATGGGTGGCGGCCATTTTGTCTCCCAAACGCTGCTTGCGCAACTTGGACGTCGAGTGCCTGGAACTGATTTCGGCAACGCACTTGCACGAACACACGGAGCATTCTCCACGAACCAGACTGACTATCTATTGTGGTTTTCGTATAAAACCCCACGAACAGAGACCGGATCTTGCTACATTTCTCCTGGAACTGTTTCTCGGCTACAACCTCGTGGCAGACCGGTCAACTCTCCTTGCGGTGCCGTTCGGTAACTACCAAACGGATTTGGCTGATTTCTTAATATGTTGCTCCCACAGAGACAGGCTACCCAGGGATGTGACTTTTGTGGGGCTCCTATGTATTTTGGGCGGTATTTCAGGATATTGTGAAAAATTTTACTTTTTCTGACCAGAGGATAATTGAGTTTAGTATGTTCTCTAAACTTAATTATCTCGCTGGCTCAGAGGAAGAGTTATACACTGTATAAGTTGAATGCCTGTGTTCCTATTAAACCAGTCTTGTCCCAACATGAAGCTTTGGCTCATGTGTGGGTTATTATGCGACACCAGCGATATTGGAACCTGTGGATTATTGGCGTATTATTTTATGGGAAAAGGGTATGCAAGACGGTGATACATTCTCAGACCGTCACACTAACTATGGCCATAAGAAGAAAAGAAGACATTTAAAAACAATAGGGTAGCGGTTGTCCTAGTACACGTCCTGCGGTACATGTTGTATGGCAACATTAAGATGGCGGTGCCTGGGACATGCATCAAGAGAAGAAATTAAGCAGTAAAAAAAAAAAAAAAAGTTAAAATGGGGGATCGAGAAGCATTTGGGTGTGGCTAGGGGGAACTATAAAATGTGGAGAGGAGTTAAAAATAAACAAAAAGATATGCTGCCACGACAGTGCTGCTTTAACTGAAAAGGTTACTTCACACATCATGAATTTGAAATGGTCATGGCGCTTGAAGTCTGCAAGTACAGCTTTTCAACATGAGACATTTTATATTGCCATCTGTCACGAGCGTGACCCCAATTAACCCCTGCAATCCCTTCTACACTAACCCCCTAGTACACACTTTACTGTCACCACCGGGCGTCTTAGGTTACCCCACACACAGGAGAATTATAGAACCACAGTTCTACTTTTACTGATCAAACACATATAATTTACCCTTTTTGGTAACGTGTTTACCTGAGCTTTCCTCTGGAGAGTGAAGCTCATAGAGAACAGAAACACAAGCTGATTAAGTAAACATTTAATCTGACAAAAGAGATTCACAGTGCCGAGTACAAAATACAGAAATAAATGACATACACATAACAAATTTCAAAACAGTACATAAAATAAAATAGGAGAAAACACAAGAAATTCCTAACATGTAGTTACCCCATATAGAATTCTTGTGGGAGTCTTAGATGGTACAGATCTCCTAGAAGTTGCTGACCAAAGAAAAAATGAATAACTCTCTGGATAGTCCAGCACCCTCATTAATATATCTAAACTAGTTGTTGCTCAGTGAGCAGACCCCTGTGGGGGTTGGTCTGGCAGTTTATTGCCCACTCTATGCAATTCCTTGTGTCTAGCTCTGGTGATGGCTATCTAGATGTTTTATGGTCTATTCCTGGTGCCAGATCAAAGACCACAATAAATGTCATCCCAAGGTTTACAAAAAAACAACTCTTAACATATATCAAAACATCAAACAACACATAACATATATCAATACATCAAATGCTTTTGGCATGACACCATCAAAGGTGTAACTCAATTTTCTGTGGCGTCATTCCCCAGCCAGGAACAAGTGTTTCAGGCTGGCTAATGCAATTCTGTTCATATTCTTTATAGTCCACTCAACTAATGAATGACCATCAGGATTGGAATCTGGATTCTTTAGCTCTGCAGAAACCAGATGTGCATCACCCAGAATCAAAAAAGACTTGGAGCCTATCGGGATGCAGGTAAGAGGGCAAATCTTTGCAGTTTATCTTGTTTTTTAAAATGCGCCCCAGCATTTGAGACTATAATAGCCCTTATAGACAATGCCTTTTTCCTGGGTTGGGGAAATGATAAAATTTCCTATTTTGTTTGTAAAGCATAGGGAAAACTAGAAAAGCTACAATTTCTGGGGAAATTGTGTGAAGTGTTCTTGCCTCCACCAGTACTCTACAACTGGAGTGGGCGGAGTAACTGTTTTCATTTATATAGCACATTTAATTGCAACGTTGTTGCACAGTTACATTAAACCATACATTTATAAAAACATTAGCAGGTGTTCAAAAGGCCCTGTCTATGACATCACTTGCTGCTGCAGCCTGGCACAGGTCAGAGTATTTTGGCAGTTGCCATCTTCAAATGGTCGTATTTTAAGAACTATATCCTACAGCGAAGAGCTTTATATTGTGAGAATCACAAGACCCAGACCTACATTTTGATGCATAGTATGTATCTGAAGTATTAAAAATGAAGGCACAGTCGCAGTTTAGAAATTGCACTTCAAATTTGAGCTTTGTAGAGTGAAGTTTCAATGAATGTCAATGGACGGCGTTAGTTGCAAACAAATGATTATATTGTGCAAACTATCAGGACTATGGCTTAGCCGTTGACATGTTTAGTGGCAGCAGGGATAGCTGAACGTTTTGATATAAGATTTGTGTAGGTGGGCCTGAAAATAAGGAGTGGTGGCAGTTTAGAAATCATGTCCTGATTTTTCAGCTTTTGCCAGCTCCCACTCTAGCTTTGCCATTCATTCCTATGGGACAAATTGCGCCACAAGAACGACGATATTCCGTGAACCATTCGGCGAAACGTTCCACAAAGTAATAGCAATCCGATCGGGAACAATCTGCACGCTTTGGTAAATTTTTGTCTATGTAGTGTAAAAACTGTGGGAGGAGTTAGGGTGGCAAATTTGGCTATAATAAGAATAATAATATATATGTGAGATAACATTAAGTGGTCTTGCTATGCAAGAACACTTAATAAGAATATATATGTGAGATAACATTAAGTAGTCTTGCTATGCAAGAACACTTAATAAGAATAATATATATGGAAGATAACATTAAGTGGTCTTGCTATGCAAGAACACTTAATAATTTCCACTAAGTAGTCCCTACGTTGATAGAGACACTTTAAAACAATTTAAGGTTTTTTTTTTCCAAATATACTTTTGTGATGTATTTTTATTTTCTGTGATGGCTTTTAAAATAACAATACAAACATACCAAATTCTAAAATTGTTACACAATGAAATACTATTTTACTCTATGTATTTTATGACATGTAAGTGCCAAAAAAGAAACTGAAATCCTAGACATGTGATGTGATGACTCTCTAAATTACTTTTATTTAGCTGCACTAATGATGTATACAGTATTATTGATAAAACTGTAGTTTTGCATTACATGCTATAATAAATGAGGATTAATATATGTACATACATAATATATTTATAAAACAAGCAGATTGCAGTGTGGCCCTACCAATCAGGGCCCCTTTCCCACGAAGAACAAGTAAAGTAAACTAACAGGGCCATAGACTTTTAAACACTTCAGTAAATTAAATTCCATATGAATAGTGGTGAATTTGCATTAAACAAGGTACGGAAAACTGCTAAACCACACATAATTCCCTCCTACACATAATCCAAATGAAAATAGGACTAAGGAAACGTAATGTTTTAATTATTTTATGTATTTTGTTTTCATTTATGCATGCTATTACATCATATTCACTTGAAACATATTCAAAGCAAGAAACGAGTTAACAATTTAAAACAAACCTGATGCCATGACTGGGTTAACTACGGGAGACATAACTAGGAAAATAAAGTGGTGTTTTAGCAGAAATGTGCTCTTTGTAAGTGGTTCAGTTGCTACTGCCTAGTTACTTGCAACACTTTATTCAAATGGGAAACACTGTATTTGTAAATAGTGAATACCTGCACTCACAATAAAATACTCTAAAATAATACATCGGGCCGATGTTTCAAATACAATATGGTAAAATAAGACATTCCAATTTGATTGTAGGAAATGTTATGGGGTCACTTCGTCAGCCAGTGTAGATCTAGATTTCTAGTTGGCTTTGTTCTTCATATTTTATTTGTTATTGGTGTTATTATTTTTGCTCTCTTTGTAGCACCATTATAGATTTATTTCGCGGCGCTGTGGAATTTCGCTGCTTTTATACTATATAAAGGGCAATGTTTTAGCTTTGAAGTAAAGGGTTAAAAGAACATAAAGTTTACACAAACTATTGAAAAAAATGATACAAGTATTCTAAATGTAAACATACCTTTATAATAGCATATAGTTGATAGCAGTGACAACACGTGGAACCATCACCCTTTCCCAGCAGCGAACAGCTAGTCGGGTAAAAAAAACAAACGCATATCTATGACGTGTAAAAAAATATCAGCGTGCTCATTGGCTAAGCCGTAAAGGAAGCCGTCATTTGTGCGGTCATTCGCTATGCGCCTATTAACTTGTAAAGAGGCGCAGGACTTTTTCCGTCGTTCTTTGGTAATTGTGGCGCTGATGTGGAGCCCTGTGGTGGTTATCGTTATGTCCCGGGAATTAAGCATCCTATCAGCAGCGCTCACACGACAGGCTGCTAGAAGGCGGTGAAGTTTTAAAATAACCCAAGACACGGTTTGGTCGCACCCAAAAACTCCCATGTACGTGAGGGTGAGATCTCTGAGATGTTTGGTGAGTCAAGCGGCAGTGCGGTCTGCCATGTTGGAGCATGGCCAAGCGAATTAAACACGCGCTTCACTGTAGCGTGTGTAATTTTGTCTTGTCCCACATTGCCGTTTTTGTGGTTACATATTTCACTTGTTAAATCGTAACTGTATATAATATGTATAGTTTTCGATGTGTACTTGAGCAGAAAACAGATTAATGTGTAAGACTATATAGATATAAAATAAAGGTAATATTATGACGGTACTCTTTACAGATATATACAGATTCCCATCGGTGCTGAAGGATGCCTACCTACTCCTGACAAGGAACACTATAGGCACCCATACCACTTATTATTGAAGTGGTCTGGGTGCAGTGTGCCTGTCCACCTTAGTTCTGCAATGTGGCAGTCGTGTATATGTAAGTGCCAGTGTAAAGGGGTTATTTGAAACAAAATTAAAGGGACACTAGTCACTCAGACCACTTCAGCTCAATGAAGTGGGTCTTCCGGACAGCCACTAGAGGCGCATCTGTGACGATGGAGGCATTTATAAGCCTTATCCCTGCCCTGCGGAGCCCAGCCTGCACTGTGCCCTGGCTGAGTGAAGATGGATTCATTTTTTTTTTAGCTCTGGGTTTTTTCTTTGTCAGATTTTTAAAAAAATTTTTTTTTTTTTACAAGATTGAGTATTATGGTTTTTATTTGGCCTTTTTTGGGGGAGAAATATGAAAAAAAACCTCAAAATGGTAAGTTTTTTTTTTTTTTTTTAATTGATTTATTTATTTATATATCTAACTATATATATATATATATATATATATATATATATATATGTTTTACATGTAGTTAGTTCTTTTGTTCCCCACTCACTATTTTATTGTGAGGTAGATAGGGGATTATTTTTTTATTTGTGTGGGGGCTTGGGGACCACTAGTTACCTTAGGAGGGGGGCATTTTAGTTTAGAGCTCCCACCCGCCGCTCAGGGGTGGGGGCCGGGGGGAGGACAATAGGCTCCCCCCATTGTCTTTTATTATTTATATAGCGCTACCAGATTCCATAGCGCTGTACAATGGGTGGACTAACAGACATGTAATTGTAACCAGACAACTGAACGTACAGGAACAGAGAAGTGGAGGGCCCCCACCTGCCGCTCGGGCGGGGGAGACAATAGTTTTTCTCCCCATTATCATTTATGGACCACCACTGGGTGGGGAACAATAGGTCCCCTCCCCCCATTGTCTTTTATGGCCCCCACCCACCGCTGGGGGGGGGGGAGACAGTAGGTCCCCACCTGATTGTTGTTATTTATGGCCCCTACCCACCGCTCAGGGGTGGGGGGCCGAGGGGACAATAGGTCCCCCCATTGCTATTTATGGCCCCTACCCACCGCTCAGGGGTGCGGGGGGACAGTAGGTATCCCCCTCGTTATCCTTTAGGGCCCCCATCCGCCACCGGCTGCTCACTGCTTAATAGACATGTCCCTACTCGTGGTATGGCGAGTAGGGGCAGAATTTACTTATACGAGGTAATCTTTACTTAGTATTAGTAAATTTGGCTGTAAGACAAATTTAGGTCTTTCAGCCTTTTGGTAGATAGCTCCCTAATACCGTGGAAATTAGGGAGTTATCTACTAAGCGGCTGCAAGATGCAGCCGCGGCACGAATAGGATCGGAGTTTCATTCACTAGATTGAAATTCCCATACGAACAAAGTCCCGAATTGCGTTCTAACACGAATGGAGAAACTGTTCTCATTCTGTAAGAACGCAATTTGGCAGTTTTGCCGGCGGCCTGTCTAAATGACAAGACGTTCGGTAATACTGACAGGAAGCATCGCGGGAACAGGGAGGAAAGTCAAACATTGTGGGAAAATTTCTCTGACCACTGGAAATGAAGAACACTTTGCTGGCCAAATTAAAGCTGGTTCTGTTTTAATGAAAATGGTTTTGAAGTATTAGGAAATTCCGTTGTCAACAGATCTCCTGGAGAACGAAGGGGTTCCAGTAGAGGTGTTGCAAATGTTCAAATTGACAGCTTTGCTGCTGCTGCACGGCTAATCCTGCAAAATAAGGGCATTAAGAAAGAGCGGTACAAGTTGCTGCTAAATTGTACCAGAAGCTCCACCTCCTCTATCTACTTGAAAATTTGATATAATTTCTTCATTGGTGCATATCTCATCATTGCAGAAGATCTTCTACTGATACAATCTTGTATTTTCTTCAAGACTGCCTTTAAAAAGTTCTTAGTTTATCTATATGACGGACCGCCTGGCACCCTGACTGGATACCTCTGTCAATCAATGATTCATAGCTGACGCTGAGGACCATAAGCACTGCAAACTTCACGAACCATCTCAGCTTGGTTGTGGTCTCGTCATCCTCCACCCACCCTGGACCCAAGACCAGGATCCAGCTTTCAGTGGGTGAACCTCTTCTCCAAGAGAGTATAGCGGTGAAGCTACAATAAGAGACAGAACTCTGTATTGAGGGTGAAGTAAAACTTGTTTAATGGTAGCCACACTGGCCTTTTATGCAAGTCCCCATGCAAGTGGGTACGCCCACATGGACTTTACTTGGGATAGGGACACAAATTTACAATGTAAGGCACTCCCACACATGACACACAATCCCTCCCTCTGCTCGGGAGATAATTGGATCAGTAACTGTACTAATTCTAATCCAGTTATCTCCAAGCACAGAAAAACCATACATTTCTAAAAAGTACCCCAAAACACACATACCCTGATAGCCTTGATCTGGGTAACCAACGTATCCAAAAATCACCCAGATCAGTTCAGGAATTTCCTGGAAGTCCTTTATTTGACCGACCGCTGGCATGGTCCCATGCCCAAAACGATTCCAAAGAATCATGGGTTGTGGTCGGTATAGTTAGGTAGTTTGAAAACCATCAAACTACCAAACAGAGTCAAGTCTTAACCTGGAACTTGTTCCTTTCATCTAGACGAATGATCCCACTGAACAGTGCCCTTCTAAATTGAATAGAACCGAACACAGGTGATGATGGAAGTCCACCTGTGTTCGGGAGTTTCTGTATCCGATTTCAGTTCCATGAGATTCATGCCCAAACACCTCTGCCTGCGTTCATGCGAACAAGATGGCCACCATCTCGTGGTTGTCCATAGGAATTGCGGCCACCCAGATGATGACTGACTAATTATTAAGTGATGGTGAAAGTGAAAAGTTTTGGAAGTAAAGTGAAAAGTTTGTGAATGTTATGGTTATCAAGTTATGGTGGTATGCCCCCATTTCAAGCTTTAAATAAACACCACAGCCTAGCCCATTGAAATAAAATAAACTGTGTCTGTGTTTGTGTGGTCTGTTATTTATGTGAAATATTGCCTGCCAAAGATATTACCGTAAATTCCTTTTTCTTTAATATGGTGGCAGTAAATCACTCCCTCCCTATGTTAATAAATTTGATATTTTTGCAGTAATAAGTCTGAGGTTTTATTGGGACGTACTGAGGTTCCATGGCAGGTTGCTGTCTTATACCTGTTGGGGGAGGAACTTTTATGTTAATTTTTAAATTTAGAGGTTTGTCCCATGGGTATCCCTAATGGAATTTACGGTGAGTAAAATTGCAGGTTTTTTTTTGTTTTTTTTTTTTGTTTTTTTTTATATGTAAATGTTTAGAAACCATTGCCTTAATCTTTCATATTTTTGGGAAATTATTTTAAACATTGATTTACTTGAACCAAAAATATTAAGTCGAGGTCCTTGTTAAACATGACTTTTAATTTTGTTCTCACTGCAGACCATGAAGCGAGTGCGCACAGAGCAGATTCAGTTGGCATTAACTTGCTATCTAAAGCGTCGACACTACATAGATGTGGAAGGGTCTCTCAAGCAAGGATTGCGTCTGAGCCAGACTGCTGAGGAAATGGCAACTAATCTGACTGGTATGTTGTAGTGTTGGATTATCATGATATAGTTGTACTCTATTAGGTGTACTGTCCTTTGGAGGGGAATGCTGAATACACATGTTCTTGCTTCTTTGATTTTTCCATTTTACTGCTTACTTTACCCGCCTCAATCTGCTGCTACTTCTTCTTACATCCCAAGCCTTACATTAAAGGGACACTCCATATACCTAAACTAACCTGGTGACATACACCCCCTGGTTTTCAGTCAGTCAAGTTCTCCTGTTACTTCCTTGTTTGAAGTGTGTGTGTGTGTGTGAGAGATGCATGGGCGGTTGGGCTGTGTGCTTGTATGTGTGTGTGTGTGTATTGTGATGGATGGGCATTGGGCAGTTGGGCTGTTTTGGGCTGTGAATGATGCACTTCCTTTCTTTTGGTTCTTTACTTCCTGTTGGCAGTTGGTGGAATGTTCCAGGGATTTGAAATGGCGGCTGCATAAACCCTGTGTAACAAGGCTGCAATATGAAGATCCTGTTATATATGTATTAATAAAGTGAGTACTTCGTTATGCAGGAATTATTGGCTGATTTGTACAAAACATCTCAGTGGTGACGAGGCTGTAGAACGCTAACCGACATGGCAGCCATTGGCACTATAAAGGACTTTGATCCTGACTCAGATTTATGGGCCTCTTGGGTTGAAAGGCTTGAACAATATTTCACAGCTAATGATATTCCTGACAATAAACAGGTCGCTGTTTTTCTAACAGTTATAGGAGCCAGAACGTATAATACGCTAAGGCAGTGTTTCCCAGCCCAGTACTCAAGGCACACGTACCAGTCCAGGATTTAGGGATTACCCAGTTGTGTCTAAGGTGTT